TCTATGATTCCGATCCGTGCAGGTTATTGTGCAGCGCTGTTGCCCGTTTCTATACCCTTAACAAGAGTTGTTTGTTTGGCGGATGATTTTCTCTGTTGCTTTTTCCACAAACTGGCACTCACCCAACCGTCTACCTCGAAAGGAGGAAAAGCGACTGATTGAAATGAGCTCGAACCCAATATCTATCTCCCAATTACGAATCCCGTGATCTGTAGATGTCGTAGGCCATATTGTTCAAACGAGGCGAGAAACGTTCATCGAGTTATTTCTGAATTTGACCCTCACATGGTACTTGATTTGCATGAGGCATGTGCAGGACTTCGTTCAACTGCTCCGACCCCCCCCCACCTCGAGTATCAAACATTGCGCAGCCAAAAAAGCAAAACTGATCCGCTTCTGTGTGACAAGTCAGGCACTACTCCTTCACATTTATTTCACTGAAATGGCAAAAGTTACCGACCGCCGTGTACGTAATTCTACGGATCAGCACACGCTTGACAACCGGATAAGCGGAACCGAGCTGGAAGACCACAACTGCTGGTTCTCTTTCGCCTCTAAAGCTGATGGCGTGGGTGCGGAAATCTACCAGCAATGGCTGGAAATTGGTTTCGTACAGTAGAACACGGCTTTGTACGTCGCTTTGACAAGTAAAACTAAGGGTCGCAGTACTCAAGTTGTTCTTCCTTCCACCACTGCCAAATGAAGCCACGAAGCTTTTTTCTTCATGAACTTTATTTCTACATTTGGTAGCGGAACATTACCGATAGCGAAATTTCACCACCCCCATGGTCATCCCTGAAAACCTGCCAATCAATTCCAAACACTGTCAATCGTTTAAGCCGCAACGTAGCAACGGCAGCGAGAGACGTCTGTAGGAATATGTTCGAGAGTCAGAAGTCGGCGTCAGACATTTTAGCAATCGACAAACATTCCTGGCAAGAGCGATGAATTTCGAAACTGTTTTAGCCCCTTACGTCCGTCGGCATGTACAATGTGCCGGGTTGTGGAGAACGTGAGTTTGAATGTCCAGACGACCTCCAGCGGATCATCAGGTAGAAAGTGTTAGTTATAACGGGTCATTTGCATAAAATTTGACGGAAGAAAAACGTCCAGTAGCCGACAGCTAGTACAGACAAACATAGGCGATCATTAGAATGAGCTGGCAAATTGGGGTAAACAATTCACCTCGCTAAATCAGTCATTTTACACAACCCTTCGTCTATCCTTCACTTACGGTCATTCACTCATTTTACTACGTTTCTAAATAAAAGCTAACTGACCAATGAGAGAAAGCGCTTCTGTTTGTAGAGTGGTTTATCGAGAACCCGCATCATTTTATTTATCCATTTTCAGAGTTTACACATCCCTTGCGGTTCAGCGTGCAATAATGTTAAGAGGTTCTCCAGTCATTTCGGTTTTCTGTCAGTTCTGCAAGATTCGCAGGACGGATTCCAAGGTTCGCCTGTTCGACTATTCAGCTTCTATCATTTTCGATCTGACCCGATCTTAGTCAGAGATTCCGCCTGATTATCAGCAAACTTAACTTCAAAACCAGGTCTACGTCATCGGTAGAGCATTGGATTCGCGGTCGAGAGATTCGACTCAAATCCAGATCAAATTCGCTCCCCGTCCTTCCTTCTGAAACAGGCAAATGAGTAGTATTTCGAGGGAAAGACGTAGGAGACTATGCGCTACGCTGTTCACTTGGCTGTAGAGGTAGCCTTGGACAAAACCGGAAGGCATTCCGGCCATACGCCCTCAAGCGACGATTAGTGTCGCATGAATTGCATCTGAAAGAACCAGGAAGTTTAAGGGAGATTTTCTTTCTATTAATTACAGACCTTCGTTTTGCACTTTTTTAATTTTATTGTGCAAGTACCCCAAAGCCCAAAGCCACATCCATTCACTTGCGAATGTACCTACTTTGAGGTTTAAAATTGTTGAAACGACAGATCAGGGATAAATGAAAATACGCTTTAAAACTCTTTTGTTACACGGACAGTTTGGACGATCAGGAGCCCGATCCGACAGATTTTGGCGGTAGTGCGGTGACCAAAACCTCTCAAACCGCTGTACTTCCTTGAATCCGATGACGTCATCGAAGGCAATGAGAAATCGGCAGTAATTCCTGAAAGTTGTAACCCAAAATAAACCGCAAAGTAACCACTCACCAAAAGATGCTCAAGAAGAGGGAAGACTGACGGAGGGTCGACCTGTGCCCCCTCCCATTTCTATAAAATAGGTCAGATTAAGGATATTTTAAAATTTTAATCCAAATTTTATATACAGGCGAAGGCGAGTACTTGCTCCACGGTGTTCAGCAGAATTTCTTGAAGAACACATAAACACACGCGGCAATGTATTCGAAAGTGTATCTGACAAGACAGTCAAATTTAACAGGACCATATTACAGGAGTGATCGAAAACTCGGCAATTCGACCAGGAATGGTACTTCGACAATGAAAACTCATACGAATGTCGATCCTTCGTCCCATATCACCAAACTTCTGAAGCCCTGCGGTAAAAGCACCCATCTTAAGAACCAACTAGGTCATCTGACAGACCAGAATGTGTCAGAAAACGAGTATCCAAATGTCCAAACTTGCTTATTGTCAATCGAGTCATTAAAATTATGTTATTAGATTAAAGCTTCATTTTCATCTTCCATCGCCGCTTCTCCTTTCGGGTCGCAGAGGCAGACACGTCAGACAGAGCTTCAAACGTTCCTGATCCTTGCCAGAGTCTGAGCTTCGGCAAAAGACAAATGCAGTCTGGAACAGATTCCTTCCATATGTTTG